GCACCTCTCGCGCTCCAGGCTTCGAGCCCCCTGCAAGGGCCCTGGGGGGGACCGGAATCATCTGGTATCCCTCCCAGCTGCTACAGTCACAGATCACGTTCATCGGAGCTCGATGAAATGCACCCATTAGCGATTCACCAAAACCAGAAGCTCAACTGAGGTTCCATCTCTATGGAGTCTAGTGAGTTTAGCACTGTCAGTATCTCTTTTGCTGACTGGGGTGGTGATATGGATAAAATCACTGCACAGGTATTTTGGGGTGCACTGCTTCACAGTGTCCACTGTAATTTTAAAGAGCAACAATTCTACAGAGCTGTAAGCCATGATTTCCTGTCTACTTAAGTGTATTTTTTTAAAATCCCAGTCCCTATAAAGTCTCTTGTTTACATCAGAATGGCAACAAATCTATACATTTAATTTTTGGAACAAACTCTACTGAAAAATAATGCTTATTTACTTCACTGTACTGTGAGTCAGTATGAAACCTTTGATCGTCAGTGTCTTGGCCTTTTCCCACAAGTAGACTTATTGGTTTCAGGGGTTAATCTAGCTCTAGGTAGCTGAATGGATTCATGCTGTAGAACAGAAAAAAATGAAATCACCCCTCCCCCAGTCTCGCTGCAGCTAAGTGCAATGAATAGCATGGCATGATGACTGACAATATAATTACCAGTCACTAAGAAAAGTATAATACAGATATAATTTAATCCCCCTCATTCATGGTTCCCTGGGAACAAAGTGTTCCAAACAGCTTAAAAATTAAATATTGTTTAATAGTGGCACTAGCAAGAGAGCCGAAACCAGCTGGTCTGCATTACCGTTCCAAAAGTAGACAAGTGATTCACTTAAAATATGCCAGCTTTCAGTAAAATTTCAGAGAGTTTAATTATCACTTAGCTTTCACATATGCCCAGTGATGGTCTCTTGGTGGGTAACAGTACCCCTGCCAAATGTGGGTGTTCCTTACGTACATGCTTAATAGGTTATCTCTTCTGTCTACCTCTGATGGAGTAGCAGTCCAGTGGATGGAGGAGGCAGAGCAGCAGCAGTCCAAAGAGTTCCAAAATCGACACTCATTCTTAGAGTAGCCCACTGTAAATTCATTGTCAGGATGGGAAGGCAGACGCAGCGGCAAAGGCATTGAATAACTATTGATTGTGTCTCGTACAGACCCACCATGAGAGAGAGTACAGATGGAGCAGATCATTACTTTTCTCATGTGGAGGAAGTGACGAGAAATGTATTCTACATGCATATCTATCACATTTCACCTAAATGCTAAGCCCTGCCACTAGCTACTATATGTGTTCATGTTTTTTTCATTAAATTTTTCTATCACATTTCACCTAAATGCTAAGCCTTGCCACTGGCTACTATATGTGTTCATGTGTTTTTCATTAAATTTTATAATTTCAATATATTTGTAATTGTTTAAATATTTTAATGACTGGGTGGAAAGGGAGCATTAAAATGTTTTAAATAAATAAATATTTTTGAAGTAACTACATGAGGCTGGACACTGCCTGGTTCTATCTGAGGCATGCAGAACAATTGGAGAGTCCAGGTTCTCTAGCCCTCCGCGTATACCACTTGGAAGTGAGTAACTAGGAAGTAAAACACTAATAGTGCACTCCTAAGCAGAATTACACCCTCCAAAGTTAATAGAAGTCAATGAACTTAGAAAAGTGTCACTCTGTTTAGGGAGGCAATGTAAACGGCTGTTTTCAGTTGGCATAAATGGAAACTGGAGGCAAAGTTTTGCTTTTAATTATAGTCAAAATTTAGGTGCATTCATATGTGCACTTCATGAAGGAAGTTTATAATGTATTTTTAAAGGTCCAGAACAATGAACTAGAATTTTAATGAAAGATCAACGGAGTTTCATTTTTAAAATTTTTATTACATCTAGGCTATTGGAAATAATCACTAGCACTCTTATGGTTGACGTTTAACTTTACATGTTAATAGCTTTGTTATTCTTCTTGACTTTCCAAGTTGACATCTTAAACCCGGTAGTAAATTTAAAGTTATTAGTCTCTCACATGACAAAAAACAACAACACTAAATGGAAGACGGTGCAATGGTGGAGGAGTAAAGAACATGTCTTGGAAAATTTGACAGCAGTGTTTTGATTTGTGCGCCTGAGGTTAAAAAAAAGTATATCAAATAGTACTGTCAGGAGATTGCTCTGTATCACTTCATTCTTTTGTTTTTCCCCCACCCCCCTTTTTCCCCTGAAGGGAATTTGATGCTGTGAAAAATTGATCAGACATGTTGATGACTTTTGGAAATTCTACACTTTAAAAATCCTTAACGGAGATTATAGTAACTTCCTAGCACTGGTAAAATTGTGCTAGGCAGTGACTAAGAAGTGCAACACTTGCTGCTAAGCAACTTAAATTTTACTTCTCATACTTATTTTAAAAAAGGTCAGTAGGAAAAAAATCTACTTAGATTTTAAACATCAGATTTATCAGTTTCAGCCATTTACAGAAATACTAATTCTCCCATTGATCTATACAGGAATATGCTGACATTAGCCGAATTGCTTTAATTTCTTGACTGTAAAGAATATGGAGCCTGCTAGTTAAGATTCTCTTCTCAAGCCCTGCTCGTTGTATCTCTGTTCTCAGAGGTAAAGTGGGTGGCAACCAGAGTCAGTTTCAGGTAGGCAGCCATGTTGGTCTACAGGAGAAGAGCAAGATTTGAGTCAAGTAGCACCTTAAAGGCCAACCACGTTACCAGGGTATAAGCTTTTAAGAATCAAAGCTCCATTTATTAGATACGAGTAGTAATGGAAAGCCCTGAGCCCTTATGTCTCAGTCAGAAGGTGGGAGGGGGCTGCAAAGAAAAGTTAGAAACTAGAGACAGGACTTCTTTGTGGTGGCACCTTGCCTTTGGAATACCCCATGAGGCTTGCCTGGTACCTGTCTTTGTCTCCTATCAGTGCCAGGTTAAAGCATTTCTCTTTGCTCAGGTTTTTAGCTAAGCGGTTCTACCTTTCCCCCCAGCTGTTTTATAGTCTGCTCCTAGCCTAAGGATTGTTTTATCAATGTCATATTAGACTGCGCTGTTTCATGTCCTAGATTGATTTACTGGCTTTTTATTTATTTTATTGCCTTGGCTTGTTTTATTGACATGAATATTGGTGAGATTTGTTTTTCTTGATTAATTTTTATTGTCTGTAGTTTTGCTTTCATTGTGAGCTTTTTGGAACATCTCTAGAGAGGTGGCATACAGAGTTTCTAAATAAAGCAAATAATAGTCAGTGGTACCACAAAATGGGTCTCATGGCCAGTGGGCCATTTCATTTCTTTCACACCTTTTGTTCAAGGAACTCAAATGCAGTGTATGTGGGGTTTCCCTGTTGTTTTTTGCTTTACGACAGCTTTTTGAGGTACATAAAGATGAATTTATTTTATTTATTATTTATTACTTCAATTTATACCCCGCCCTTCCCGCGAGCAGGCTCAGGGCGGCTGATATACTAACAATGTCATCCAAAGCAGAGTTTACACTCTTTTAAGCCCACTGACTTCAATGGACTTAGAAAGCTATAACTTCTTACTTAAAAAGCTATATCTTCTTACTATGTAAGGGCATAACGTTGCTTCAAGAATATGTAGTCAAATTCACAGCTCAGCAAGGATTTGGACCCTGGTCTCTCAGTTCAAAATGGGACAATATTCGTATCACCACCCTTGTTTTCATATGCCAGTCAGAACATGGTGGCTGTTTTCCTAAGACAACAACTTAGGTTATTCGTATTAGGCAAAAATATGCATCCGAACTGGATAACTGTATTGTACTTATTACTGTAAATAATTTCAATTCCTGTGTGGTTGTATATAGCAGTTATAGCATGTGGTAAAGGCCAATATAATATGTATCTTTCTACTATCATGGCTCTTCTCCTTGACAGAACGTTGTCCAAAACTAACTTCTACCATATCGGAATATGTACACTATGTGCTTGTCAGTCAAGATTAAAACTAACAGCCTATGTAGCAGGGAAGAAGAAAGATACTGAACAGAAAGGTCACAGTGGAATAAACAGTAGGGCTTAAGGAAAAGCTTAGATAAGCTATTGCAAGGGTTCCTAACAATGTTGAACCACTGGACTTTGGGGGAGTTCGGAGAACAGATATGGGGTCCCACAACATAATGGCTGCCATGGTCTGTATTTCATGGATTGCACTTCATCTCCAGCACAAAACAGACACAGAGGAAATACCTCTTACTTCAATGAAGTGGAGAAAAATCAGGATTGGTTCTTCGCTTCAGAGAAGACATGCTGTGGGGAAGACGCAAGTGGGTACCAGGAAACACATCAATGGGTGCCATGGTGCCCATGGGCACCATATTGGGGACCACTAAATAATAGCTGAAAGCTGTGTGGTCTTCACCATAATGGACAGTTTGCTATAATAGCTAGACTCCTGAACACATATTATTTGGACATTTAAGCCATTAGAGAGCAAATCAGTAAAGGCATATAACACTGGCCCGTAGCTACCGTGGGGCTATTTCTTAAAGGGACCGCCCCACAAGATTTCCCCCTGAAAAACCTCCCCCCCCTTTAAAAGACATTTTAAAAAAGGTATGTGCTCCCGTGGCTAGCCATGTGCCTGTAGCACAGCTCAAAGTCAGGGCAGTGGAGAGAAGGGCCCTCCCTGCCTTTTCTACTCCACCTGCAGTTGGGCTTGGAAGCCGGAAGCGGAAATTCCCGCCCTGAGAGCTGTGCCCAAAGTGTGCTTTGCAGAGGCCAGGCCGGTGGAGAGACGCCCCAGACAAGAAGAGCCCATGGGAAAGCACTGGCATATTGCGGGAGCTCCCACTCCCCTCCAAGAGTCCCAGGGCAGACATGTTTTGCAAACTGCAAGACAACTTCTAAGGCTGTCTGCGCTTCGAACACCTTGCAGGTGAGTAGCCAGCGAGGCTCGGAGACTTCTGAAGTCCCTCCTTCTTCTCCTGGCTGGCTCACCTGGGTGGGGGACAGCTGGAGGATGTCAGACCCAAGCCCCCTTAAATAATTTAAAGCCCCCTGAAAAAAAAAACTAGTTATGGGCCTGATATAATAGGAAGTGGGTTAAATTCAGCATTCAGTATCTTAATGAAAAAAGGATCAAGACAAAGTCTACAATAATGGAATGTATTTTTCACTGAAAGTTTGGAATGCTCACATTGTCAAAACCCATCTTGACATAGCTGTTTCCAAACACTGTTTTGCTGCACGTGTGGCAATGAAGCATCACCACCAAGAGCAGTTACATTAGCCTGGAAGGAGGAAGGGGTGGAAAGAGAGAGAGAGATGATCAGTGTGCTTGAGAGAGAACTTGTTTCATAACTCAAGTCTATGTTTGGTAGCAAGTCTGCTTTGCTTCAGTAGAGCTTATTTCTGTGTAACTGTGACCATTCTGTAAAATGCACTACGGAATCAGACTTCATATGTCTCCACAGATGGTCTTTTCATACACTTCAAACTTATACTGGATGCCACTCTCTTCCTGAATACCATCAGGCACACCTGGGTATCTGGAAAGGAGAGAATACATTACATATAAAGTAATAAAAATCAGTGAATGCTTAATTTACCGTTAACCATTAGTAAAATAACTGACTGTGGTTGTCTTGTACATCCTAATGGTCCAAATATTTTTCTTCAGAGATTAAATTACCATATAGAAGCTTATGAAATATTTTGTTATGCCGTTAATGATAAAGTGAATACAAGCTATTACCGTAGCAGTGATATTTACCCTTGCAGAAGCTTGAATTGGTTTAAATCAATTTCTGGAAAAAATGTATCACTTTCAAAGTACTGGAAGATCCTTGTCAGGAACAGCAGCTGATGAAGTGGCTTCTCCATTGCTTCCTTTAAAAAAGTAGACAACGTGATAAATGACGATTCCTCCCGTGCATTAGGTATATATGCATAGTTCATGGTTCATAAAAAACGAAGTGTAAAAACAGACAAAGGAGCATCTGGTCTGCATTTCATCTCCAGCATTGGCCACCCTCTGGGAGCTCATAAGCAGTGCATGAAAGTCACCACCTTCCTTGTGGTTTATCCTCAGCCCCCTGTACATCTGAGATATAAGTGCACTTAAACCAATGTTAAGCCAAAAGTGGATTTGGCCCAAGAGGAGAAAACACATTATGTAGAGGTCCAAGACCACACATCCATGGAATAGAGAGTTAGCACTGCATAGTAGTTAGAGTAGTCAAGACTACAATCTGAGACAACAGAGTTCAAATCACTCCAGTGCCATGGAAGCTCAGCGGGCAATCTTTTCAATCTCTCAGCCTAACCTATCTCATAAGGTTGTTGTTGCAAGGATAAAGCTGAGGAGGGGGGAATGCAGTGACAAGCCTAGTTAGGGATAGAAGCAGAATATAAATTTTAATTTTAAAAAATTGGTTGGACCCAGTGCAAACTTTCTGCTTGCATAATGGCTCTTGCACAAGTGGAAAGGCAAGAAAAAGACTGTGGTAGCCACATGTACTAAGTCAAACTTATCGTATCTCCATTTGTATTTCTGCTTGTGCAGGATCTTGTGTGACCAGTCCCAGGGTTTTGGGAACTGAATGAGGCAGCTTCTTCATTCTCAAAATGGCTCCCCAAGGTACAATACAGAAGAGGGAGAAGATTGTTGCAGAAGATCTTGCATGTGAAAGTCATTGTGTATATGAGCAAATTACCATGGGAGTGGGAGATGTACAAGATATTGCACAATCTCTTCCACAAGCAGAACTACACAAAGTAGATTTCTTTTCCCATCTGTGCATTGCTGGACCCAAGTTCATGTTAAGAAGGTCTGTAGTCTGGATAATGTAAATAGTCTGGAGTATACATTTAGAAATTATATGCATTCTGAGCAGTACAGCCTCTTTCATCTATAGATATGGGGAAATTAAAAAAATAGCATCAACTGTGAACCACAAACAGCTATGTATTTGCCTTACAGACTTAAATCCTGCCTAAACACTTAATTTCTAAAGATGATTCATCTAACATTGTTTTGGGAACTGATGCTTTGATGACTGACTGTTCATGCAGATTTAATCCAATAATTTAGCAGGCAGCATTTATTGGGAACACAATTTTCTAAAGAAACTGCTTCAGTTGTAAATTTCTTCAGGTAGATGTAACTTTAGTGAGCTGTGGCCATCCCTGGCCAAGAAAAGCCAACCCTCAGTCTTTTTCCATATAAGAGGAGTAAAATGATGTTGGATACTGATTTCTGTACTTCCTGAACTGCCAAATTTAAACTGAGACTGTATGATAGGGGAATTGTCTAGACCAGTTGGAACCATTTGGAACAAACTTTAGAAGGTATATGAAAAAAACTAAGTCACAGTGCAGTGTGGCCATCAGGTTGTGCAAACTGGGGAGACAACAGGAGTGTTACCTTTTTAGGGCCTTCTAGCCTGAAGATTATTTTATATCTTTTTAGGCAGATCAGTGTTGTTTTATGGTGTTTTTATGCCCTTGGCTTGTCTTTCATATCAATAATTTATGTTATTTTAATAATTTTATTGTTTATTCTAAATACATAATAAAAACAATGACTAGTATGAAAAAAAATCCTGTCATAAATCAGAGCAGTGGCTCATCTAGGCTGCTATTCCAATATGTACAACTATCCATTTCAGATGATCCAAAAGAAATCTGTAAGAACAGAGAATGCTAAGAAAATATTCTGGTACTTGCTGATTGTTTCTGGGTCCCTATACCTGTATAATACCCATATCGTATCACAGATTTGCAGTCCCCACTTCTTCGATTATCCATCACTGAGTTACAAATAAAATTCGGTACTTCTCTCTCTGACATAGCAATTCTCAGTATGAGATATGTCACCAGTCATTACTGCAAGGCAATAAAGCTTCTTCACTATTTGTCTAACTCATTGGTTCTTAACCTTTCCAAACCCTGGATCCACCTTTAACTTCAAAGGTAACAGCATAGACCCAGTGAGCTGCAAACATATGACACGAGCATGTGAGGCGCACTGGACAAATGACTGGTGGAGGTGATGGCCAAGCAGCACAGAAGCAAAAGAAGGCTTTTGGATGTGGAATGTTACCTATGCTATGCAGGAATCTTCTCCACTACTTAGTGGCCTTGCCTATCCATTTTGCTGCTCTTCTTGGTGTGTGTGGAAAGAGGGGAAGCAGGCATGGTACCCTTGTTCTGTACACACATGCATTAGCAGCAGGCTTGCCCAAAACGCAGCTCTAGAGGGGCTTATAAGCCAGCAGGTAAGGCTCTGTGACCCACCATGTAGTGGGGGGTCGGAGAATGCTTTAAAAATGTTAAATATTCAGCTTGTTCCATCCGCTGCCATTTTGATCACAGATCAGAAAATTGTTACCAATCAAATCAGTTGTAGTAGTTTTCATCCTTTTTCGCATGGAAGACAGTCTAGTGCTCCATTGTGTTCATGTCCATTGTGCACCTCATTCTGCTGTGCCTGAAGTTGTTTGCTCAGTTTATTTGCACCAGCTTAGGAAGAAGCTCTGCTGTGCTTTGCATTCTTCTGCAGTGGCCAAATGCGTATCTGGCATTTCTACTGTGCTGAGGAACTCCTGCTGGGACAGGCTGCGAAGGCATACCCTTGCAGGCATACGTTTTCCCCATCACTATTGGGTCTACCCAAAGAGCACCAAGCAACTTAGTTCTTGGCATGTGGAGCGATGAGTCTGCCCTGAGAAGACGGCTACTTTGCCAGAGCACTAAGATGCATGCACCGATTCCTGTAGAAAACATTTGGTTCCTGGCAACTCCTACCGCAAAGTACGTGAGCATTTTAGCTTGGGACTCTCCATGGTAGGGGCAATCATCCTGGAAGTATGTTTCAGTGTGGAGATCGAGCTCCTGAACAGGACTGTCTACCTGGGCAATGAGGTTGTGAAGGTAAGCCACCTCTAATTTATTTTAAACCAGCTTGTAATAGTGTTACATCACAATTTTAACAGTGAACCAATGTTGTAATTAATGTTACCAATGTACAAAATCTTGAGGAAGCCACGGCCTTCAGTTTGCAAGACCTGAGCAGGGCTGTTAACAATAGGAAATTTTGGAGGACATTATTTCCCGATAATGGATGGCTTCGCACACATGGTGTTCCCTCACTGCATCAATGCAATCAATGGCATATACCTCATCATTCATTTCTCTTGGAAGAATTGATCAGTATGACAACAGGAAATATTTTTGCTCCATCCTGCTCCAGAGGACTGTAAACCACATTAGCCGCTTCACTGATGCAGAGGTGGGATGGAGTGTCATATTGCTTTTGTGTTTTCCAGCTCCGGAATATGCACTGTAATGGACACAGGTGTTTTTGTTCCGGGGAACCCAACAATCGTTCTCCAAGATGTGACTGTTCCAGCTCTAATGGTTGCAAATGGTATCTACCTCAAGCAGTGCTGGCTGATAAGGCTGTACAACAGAGTTAGGAACATGAAGGAGTGGAACTTTGACCAGGCCTTGTGTAAGGCCTGCAATGTAGTGTAATGCGTTTTCAGCAGGCTAAAGGCTTAATGGTGGTGTCTTTTATCACACCTCACAGTATTTGAAGAGAATGTCACCACGGTGGTCACTGTGTGATTCTTCACAATATCTGCAGGGAAAAGGGACACAATTTACTGGTCGAGCACTGTGATCCAGGGCTGTTATCGGTGCCATAGGTGGAAGATGTCTTATATCGAGCCAACCAGAGACATTGTGTGAAGGGAAAGCTGGTGAGGGACACTGTTTCCAACTTCATGCTGTTGCGTCAATGCCGATGCATGTGCAGGGTAGGCTGGGGTGCTCTGCAGTTACCAAAGGAAATGAACCACATTCATTCTGTTATGTATACTAATGAAGTTGAGTTGATTATCTGCACCAAGATGTTTCTGCTTCTCAGTAGTTATGAAACAGAATGTGGTGTCTCATTTGGTGGGACTGTGGTGTTGGGTCTCCTTTCTTATAGCAGTGAAGTTAATGTTCCATTACAGTTCTTCCTTTCTCCAGACAGTCCATTATGGGGTGTGTGTGTGTGACTGGTACTCGCTATGATGGGAATACTGTCCTAGCCATCATTACAACTACAATTACATTAATTACCACCAATGGGCCCAGTTTTTTAAAATTACATGTTGCTGTTTCGCATTGGCAATAGAGGTTTGGTTTCTCTGGAAGAGAGAACTTTTGTCAATTTCAGGAATCACAAAAAACCCCAAAACAAAACCCAACAAGGTGTTTGGAATGTAGA